CAAGTCAAGTCGACTGGAATACAGCCCTCCATGGGATGGAAGCGGGCGTTGTTAATTTGCGTGTAGTCAATCACTATAATGTTACTGTTATTTGCCATGCATCAAGGACTAGTTCTGTCCAACCATGCGCAAGAGTGTGAGGTATTAGTTGCTTCAATCGGATTTAAATTTCCAACAAAGCCTCAATGGGCCAGTTGGTTAAGGCGTTTGCATCCCCTCCCTTGTCGTTTATTTTAATAACGTGATCTTAGGGAGTTTTTTTTTAATGTTTTCCTTTTATAGATTTTTGTAACGTGTTTTCTTTGTTTGTTTGTTGTTTTTTTTAAATAAAAGTTATTTAAGTATAACATTGCAGTTTGAATTATATCGGTTGGTAACTCATCGCGTTTAATCTACTTCGATTTTCTTTCTTTCTTGCAAAATATTTCAAAATAACTTTCATTTACTTGATCTTGACCATTGGAAATAATATATATATGCCCATTACTTAACCAAGAAACACATACTGTAGGCCTACATCAGTTTAATGATATTTAGTTGAAACGACAGACCATGGTGACGGAACAATGATTATAGGCTTATCCGTGTTTATGATGATTACATGATTAATCATTGTATTTGGCAATAATAAACAGATGAAATGCAACAATTTTGACGTACTGAACGCAACTACCAGGACATAAAAATAATGCTTTTACGATGAAGAGCGAGAATACAAACTTCATTACCCCCGATAGTAACGCCGGCTGCCCTACCGCTGAGGGTGGCGCCAGGATGTCCCGACGAGGGGTCAGATTTCCCCGACGAAAGTAGAGTGGGCGTGGTCGAGCTGCGATGAAAAGGTTTCGTAGGTTGTCCAGGGGGCGAAGCCCCAAACATTTTGACAATTTAGGGGTTTCAAAGGCTTATTTAATCGACTTTAGAGTCTACTAATAGGCCCAGTATGTGGATAATACATACAATTTTTTTTTCTCCCCGACGAATTGTACTTTTTCTCCCCCGGCCCAACCTGGACTCGGCTGATTGCGTTTGTCGCGCGCTAACAACATAACCAAAAGGTGCTCGTTGTTAGATGACATCACTCGAATCATGTGGAAATTTGAACACAAGCAATTCCGAATTTCTTATTGTAGAGACCGAACGACAGGACCGTCATTTTATGCGGATGACATAAGGCCTCGAACATCAAAAAACACCATATATCTAATCTATACGAGGTCTTCAAATTAATGTGAACACACAATCTGAAAACAGTTTGCAAGATATATCAGCATGAATACATAGAATATCATATACTTCATATCATTTATTTCGTCGATAAAATTTTTAAAATCAATGACAAACAGAAATAAAAAATTGGAAAAAACAAACAAACAAACAAACAAACACTGTAAAAGAAAAAAATAGAACAAGCAAATGAAACCCGACTGGATTGCGCCAAAGCAAAACCAAATTACTGGGAGCTCTCCGTGTTCAGTTATGAAATATGTTGACTTATGAAATAAATATAAATATTCATAATTTAAAAACGACAACGGTGACGTCATATACCGGTATGTAGGTAGAAACTCTATGGTCTGATGACATTAACCGTAGATTGTTACGTTTTGTTAAATATTTGTTGTGTATTGTTTTTCAGTTGATAGATTCTGTAAGTGGTAGTTAATCGTCACTGAAATTGAAATGGAAGTTTTAGGCTAATACATAGTAGGTCTTTAGAATTCTCATTTCATTTATTTGGTCCAAAGAACAATAAAGCAGACAAATGATAGGGAGAGGAAAACACTCAAATGGCGAGATCCTCAATTCAAATATAAATTACAAAAGCATCTACAAAAACATTGTCAGAAAGTGCACTTGATAATAATAATAATTTGTGGATTTGAAATGTTTTGTAAAACAGCAAGTTTATTTTCATGTATTAGTTAAATCACTATTGCCTCTCTCATAATCCCCATTGTTGGACTTGTTTAATCCCCTCATTTGCATATTGTAGCATTTTTTTGTAATTGTCCAAAGTTTTCTCATTCCTGAAGATGACCCAATAAAGGTCGAAACGTCGAATCATGGCCCCCCTTTCTTTATTCGGAGTAACGTTCGTTATGTTATTTAAACGACTCTGGCGTGAAGTTTCAAAAATTATTTGTTTGCTATTACTGGTAAATCTATTAACTTTATCAACTTGTGATCAAACTGATGATCCTTGCTTCATATATGTTAATAGATTTCAATATGTCGCTATAAACTTATGGAAAACATGCCAATCTTTTCCATGTCTGCAAGACAAATACAACGACTTATTAACTTACAAACTTAGTAGGATACTATCCATACTTTGTTTCACTGAGTTAAACTATAATAAGAAAATATGTAAAAGTATAATTTTAAGAAATGAGATAAACAAAATAATTCCGTAGTTATTATTTATTATTTTACTCTTTTTTTTATATTTTGAAATGGTTTGAAATGTTTATATTATTAATTTGTACTAGTTTTGAGATAATAAATACATCTTGGTCGTCAAGCTTGGCAGCCAGCTATACTTTTAATTCCATTCCTGGAAATTGACACTGACTTCGATCTTGTTGTCAACGAACGCTCCCTTGATGAGCGTGCTGATTTTTACACATCTCACACCGATTGGCCGATTAGTTGGCTTGCGTATATGCCTACGTAGACCTATTTAAAAAAGAATACTGTATAGGCCTAGACCTAAAATGTTTTACGAACGTACAATTTGTTCTGCTAGGTGAGAGTTAAGTATCTGGTGGAATTTAATGAGAGATAGTGTTAGTAAGTACACGCAGGTGGGCGGCATTAACAGAAAACCAGTCGAATTATCAAGAGCATAAAGGCAACAATCCGGTGTATGCTGATGAAGACGATCGCAATTTTAATGATATCAAAATGATAATGAATTATGATTGTGGTGACATGCCTGCACAGTAGATAAAAACTTACAACTATTATATAAGATAGGCCTATGAAAAATAACATAGGGCCTAATCTAGGAGAAAATGCTTAATTTTGAACCCTTGCACAAAATATGCACAAATGCATACCGGTATTTTGATGCTGTTGATGATATCGATGATGAGGACAATGATTCAGATTCATTACAGATTATTATTATTATTATTATTATTATTATTATTATTATTATTATTATTATTATTATTATTATTATTATTATTATTATTATTATTATTATTTGTTATTTTGTTATTATTAATAGGCCTATAATTATTCTAGCCGGACGTGGAAGAATTATAATTCCTCCATGGTTGGAGAAAGGGGGTGTGACCTCAGGACCCTGGGGATTGGAAGGCAAGCATCTACTTAATAACCAATCGAGGATAATATTGTGATGACATTTAGGCCTACGCGAATTTGTAAATGTTTCTGTATCATTAACGAAGTAACCATGGCTCTAATAGCATAATTCCAATATTGGTACACATTTCTAATGACGTCATTGCTGAATATCAACAAAAGCGAATAATACTAATACCTCTGTATCAGCCAATACAAGTTTACACTGACGTATTCAATTTGGCTTTAATATAGTCAGATATTTTCCCATAAAATCAATATATGACTGTGAAAAATAATTTCTTATTAAAACGTTATTTTTAAATTAGAAATTGACTATATCAATAGGTGGACATTTTCTGGTGACGTCATTATTGGTCACTGAATTGAATATTAAGAAGTCATTAGAACATGGCCAAGTAGCTACGTAGATCCATCATGGGTAAAAAACTCATTACGCAACGTCCCCATACATATCATATTTTCTTTTGTAAACTATCTAATTCAAGAAATGCTTTTAATAACGTTTACAAAAATTGCTTATTATTATATTAATGTTATTTCAAGTGACAAATTAAATCATATATGTGAAGAATCAAATTGCAATAGGTCAGCGAATTTATTAATAAATCGACCATTACAGTAATTAGATAAGACTGCGTGAACAGCAGTACGATAGTACGAGAACAATAGCTTAGACTGCACAGTGGGAGAACAAAGACGAGACACCACTTAGACTAGAACACAACGATTAGTTCCTAATAAAATAATATATGCTGAATTGGTGAAATAGGCCTACACGTTGTCTCATTATTGATAAAACCGACTTATTGTAACCCTGGATTCCGGCGTAAGTGGTCGCTTCGTAATAAATAAAAAGTACAGACCTTCTGTTTTTAACGCTAAAATAAACAACCCTATATTATATTAAATTTAGTAACACTTGCAAAATCAGTTAATATTTTGTTGCGATCGCATTTAATAATTTTGCAAGGAATATGCATATAATTATAAAGTATTTAGACATTTTTTGAGATGGTGAAAAAAATGCACATTCTTTAACTATTTATTATTGTTACGCCCACAAAGTGTGCAGCCTCGTATTCAGGACTGAAATATATTATTTAACACACTTGCGCGATGAAGTTACACACTTGGGGCACCAAATCGTCGTGCAATCTTAGTTTGCAACGTTGCAATATACTGTATATCTAATCATACTAAAATAGTATATTACATATGAATATATTTTACTTACCCTGAGAAAAAAATCTATGCAGCTCTTACAAGAGCTTGCATGTCTGCAGCCGCATATATCACAGGGAATAGCTGCCGTGTCTTTTGTTTAGAGGTGTGCGTGTAATTCACAGCGATATTGGTAACGAGCATGTTGTCGTGTCATATACGTTCTGACGTACTATATGGCATGGCACATTCCATATTTGGAAAGTCACTTATTCAACCAATGGTAACCAATGACGTCACGGTCGTCAGATGAATGCCAAAATATCACTTTTTCAATATTTTAACAACGCACAAAATGTAGAATGTATGGATGTATAATGTATTCCTAAATTTCTTGCTTTTATGGTTTGATCAATATTTGTAAAGGCTAGTGTGAGTTTTTTCATAACGATCATCATACTGTACAGTATTATAAAACACATAAATACGGTAGGCACAAACGAAGTACAGTTCAGTATTGTAATGTTTATTTACGTTTTGCGCATCTTTTGTGACAACTAGACCTCAGGTCAATGACATTGTGGAAGTAAAAGGAGGTATGCGTGACCAAGTTAAAAGTATTCTGTTAATAATGTAAACATAATAACAGTAATTATGTAATAAATCAATTTATAAAATAGAAATATAATTGTTATATCAAATTTTATTATTTTTGATACCTAAAAATAACGTTAATATTTTTAAAATGACGGTACTTTGATTATTGAATTAAGAATAATAATATTGACTGTTTCAGATAATATGGCGGTGGATATGAGTTTATTGAGGTAAACATCGGCGGAAGGAAGAAAGTGTGTGGCGGTTTCGTTAGCCTAATGACAATGTGTTTAAACACTGTAATTTAAGCATGTCGTCTGTATATAAACCGTCATTCGGTGCATTTGACAAGTAAGTGTGAAATTATAACAGTTGTCATTCTTGAACAAACGATATTTCGGAAGGCTTAGGCTAGGCAGGCAGGACTAGGCTAGACTAGGTAGGCTAGGCCTAGGCTAGGCTAGGCTTAAGTCAGAAGTCGGCAACCGAACCGACGACGAAGGGCATGAAGCAGGCCATGCTCTGACTAGCCTACTTAGCATAGCTAGGTAGACTAGTTGCAGCAAGGCCTAGTTAGAGGCATCTAGAAGAACTCGATCGAGAAGGGCATGGGGGCTAAAGCTTAGGAGGAGGAAGACACCTATTGACCTATGTACATTCTGAGAAATGAATTATCAATGGTTATAACTTGTTGTTTAATATATTGAAATTTTTTTATGCAACTGTACCAAAATGAGGATCTACATAAAAAGATGGAAAGGGTAGCTAGGCTTAAAAGGAAGTGTTAGTGACACCCACTGGCTGGCCATCACACTGCAATGACCCGGTCCCAGTAACAGTATTCCGTGGGTTAGCTCAACTGCGCAGACCGGCGCATCCACTGGCATGGAACTGGCATGCGCACTAATCAGCCGACCCTGGGAAGCCCTCAAAGAAAGGATGTCACTTCAAGTCAAGACTTGCTATCACTGTACGTCATACACAAGGTTGTAGTATCTTAGTGCACGTGAAAAACCTGTCACGGTAAATACCAACATTGGCTATTTTAAAATAGGAGAATAACGCAGCGTCATTGTGCAGAATTGCATATGGGCGTAATCAATGACTACAGTACCTACAACGACAGGGGCTGAAATGAACCATACCATCAGGGTAACCCCCTAATCATCCAAAAGACACTCCTTTAAAGTGTACACAAGCCAGATGTGTACACTGGACCTCCAATTTTAAGTCTTTATAGAAGAAGTCTTGGTCCTGCCAACTGAACCCTATGTGAAGAGCAGCCTAAAACAGTGCCGATGAAGTACCCTACTGTACCTTGCTGCTTGGCCACTAGACTCACCAAGCAGCCGAGCCATAAAGTCATCAGAAAATGTAGTGTATTGGTTCACTAAACATGAAACTCAATTAATGTAAATAAAAACAACATGGAAGGATGTATGCTAGGTCAAAAAGCCACTAGCATTGCAAAAAGTAATGGAAGTGGGCAGGTCAGTTGGCAAGGTTGCAAGACAATCGATGGGCAAGAGAGAATATCAAAGAGAAGGGTATGTCTGAAGAGAAGGTGGATTGATGACCTAAAAGGCAACACTCCAGATTGGGTGTCTGTAGCTAAGAACAGAGATAGAATGGAAGGGTTTAGAGCAGGGATGTGTCTTGCAGTGAACTGGCACACCCTGAAAATAAAGTAAAATTATCATAAAGTATTATAGGCCTAGATTTAATATTTATATAGACCATTTCAATACAAAAACATTTTTTTGTCAAAAATGCATGGAAATGTGACAAATTAGACAAAATACAAATCTTTGAGATATATTTGTTCCTATTGTGATATATGTATTCTTGATTAAAGCAAACTTTTTTCATTTTCCAATTCCAAATATTTGAAATTGGAAATTTTTGGCTGGGCCACTTGGGACCTGTTGCAGCCACAGTGCAGTGCTAGTACCAACATATAACAGATATTGTGCTTTATGTTAACCTTATCCCACCTAACTCTCATTTGAGGGTTACCTGTATTCGAGGAGCAGAGCGATCTGACTCCAATTAAAACCCGACACTGGCTGGGTTTGAACTATGGTCTAAAGCTCAAGAAGCAGGAACATTACCTGTGTGCCAAATCCTCAGCTCTTTTGTTCCTGTGATTATTATTAACATTTTTTACCATTAGACAATTTAATTGATTTTTCAGAGACACAAAGTTTGCTAAAATACAACCACCTCTTTGTCACATGATTGGGCGTGTCACAGGTGGACTAGCAATGTTGTACAGAAAAATCAAAACAAAACAAATACATTCTCAGCAGGAGTTACATTATGGTAAGGCACTTATTAATACATTTGCAAACGTCTTAATCCTTAGAGAGGTGAAAATAATGTAATAAAGTTTAAAGGTTAAATGTTATTCATTAATACTATCTTCTTAAGCCTTGTCCAGACTTCAATTTGATTTGATAGAAACATGACATGCCTAAATATGGTCATGATGACATCACATCATGACCATATGATATATAGGCACATCATGACTATATATGGGCAGTGTGGACATAGCTGTGTACTAGCAAAATGGAGTCTGAGAGAATCAAATAAAATTTAATTGACCACTAAAGAATTGAGAAATCAGTAAAAAAACAGCACTTTTAAGGCTAATAAAGTATAATTTATTAAACACTCGTAAAATGAAAGCTTGCGTTTAATAAATTATACTTAGTCTTATAGTGCTGTCTGTTTTTTATTGATTTATCATCCAGACTATTACACGGTTACCCCACTATGACATAAATAAGAGTATGTGATGTAAAAAGTAAATGAACACGCCCTTAGGCTTTCACTCAAGATCCCATCGTATTGTTCTATAGAGAATTTGATGTGCCAGAAAATAGTACATGCTGGTAAATGATTTATATTTAATTCTTCAGAAAAAAAATTGTTTTCTTAAGTAAGTTTTATGGCCAAAGCCAAAAATAATATTTTTACTGAAAATAATCAGTATCAGCTCTTGGTGGGTTTAATGAAACAAGGTATAAAAATCATCAATGTAAACCTAGGACCCAGACTTTAGGATGCTAGTATATTAATGACCGACCTATAGCTCCACTTTCACAGGTTCTTTGTTTAATGCCTGATGAAATGCAAACATGCTGAGGATTTTATTTTAAGATTGACTGTATTAAGTGCATAGCCTAATTTATTGACCTAAGTGTATCTGTCGACTGACATTACAATGTGCTGTGCACAAGATGTAACAATACAAGATACAATACACTATTGTCTCATATATCACATGACAGGAAATGTGTTCTCTGGCAACAGTATAGGCTACTGAAAGGTAAAGATATAAAAATTGAGATATTATGTCACAAAAATTTCAAATTTCATGAGTCAGACAGCAAAATAAAAAATTATACTATAAAAAAGTTATAAAATTATAATTCTCATGTGTGCCTCAGAGACAGACCGGTATGAAAAAAAATATGTACAGTAATTCAGATATTGTATCTAATAAAAAGTAACTATTGCTTTGCCTCAACTACTGTAATTGAATATTGCATCTGGGTTAAAAGTAGAGTTGGTATATACAATGAAAAACAATTTCTCAAATTATATCCATTCAATTTTTGTAATTCTTATTCAAGTGAGAATTAACTGCTATATAACCAAACTCCCAATATGAGGCTTTTATTTAAGGCATGGATTTTTTTAGTCATGATAAAATTCCTGGAGTCTCAGGATTTGAACCCAGGACCTGGGATTGAAAGGCAGGCACCTTAACCACTGATGTACAGCTCCATTTCTGAATTATCCAGTAATATTTTTCCATGTCTGGGGGGCCATTGTGTGCACAAATTATGGCCAATAATGTAGTGTCCTTCAGATGGGATGTTGAGTTGTTGGTCATTGTTATGCACATAATACCAACAACTTAACCTCCCATTTGAAGGTTGTCTTTATTATATTGGATTGGAGACATTTCTTGACATTGATTAAATTAGTACATTGGGAGACAATCTCAAACTCTATTCCACATTAGTAATCTATGCTCAGGGGGCCATTATGAACACACAATTAATGGTTTATTGTCTAATCTGACAGAGAAACTTGCTTTCCTTGTAACAGAGACATTATTAATTAGCATGATTGAATGGAAATTAGTTCAAGGTTTATCTAATGCTTAAGTCTAATGGATGATTGCTGTATATAGCTATATATCATGGATTTATTTTGACAGCGTTTTGTGAGAGCACAGAATCTATACCTTTCAAGATTACTTCTTATTTATATACATATATATATATATATATATATATATACAGTATATATACACCCTTTAAGCTGGGCGTTTGTTGCCAGATCGTTTGTTTGTCAGACTTAACAGACTTAGTCTGCCAATGATCGTGTATACTTTTTTCAGGCATCTGATCATTCAAATTATGTCATTTTTTTAATTGAACAAGGCTCTCTTTACAAGTCTGATCAAATGTTGTATGAGTTTAACAGAGAAAAATGTAATAGTGTACAGTATGCCTAACTAAGATGTTTAATAATGCACTTGCTTCATATTTAATTAATAACCATTCATGCCTTTACATTTGTTTGAAGATGCACAATGCTCTACTTCATCAAAATTCTGGTTAAAAAATTTTCTGATTGTGATATAATGGTATACAGTTCAATAAAAAATCCTTTAAAAAACATTAAACCATACATATAAGACAAATAACATAATAATAGAAAATTGTATCTTGTATTACAGTAGTATGACTGTATGTTTATTATTGGTTTTTTGCTGCAGTTTTCAGTTAAAAACGCTCAAGGAATTATCTCAGTCTTAAGTATACATAGGGAAATTAATAAGGCCACACCCAGTGGATAATCTATAGAAATAAATCTGATGAATATGTTCCCTCAATTGAAATTCAAATAGCTAGAACCTACAGTAATCTATTAAAATCCAATAGTACAATGTAATAAAGCAAATTGTAAGATATAAATTCACATTAAAACAAATTATATTGATATGTGATCCAGCACAGGTCTTATGTTTTATGTTTATAGTTAGTCATGATTTTTTATAAATTGTATAAAATTGTAAATTATAGCTTTATGTGTATTACATTATAAATAATAATAATAATAATAATAATATCTTTATTTCCTGCAAATTTACATATAATGTACAAATGAAATAGGATGGGGTCAGAACAAAGGAGGAACAAGTTCCTATACCCAAATGTTTTGTCTGCCCAGACACGAGTGACTCAATAAAAATAAATAAATAAATAAATAAGTATATAATATTAATTTATATTTATTATTAATATTCGTTCTCTAATTTTAACAACTTAATGTCCAATTTCCAGCCCAGCTTTACACATGCCTTAAATGCAAGACACCTTCAGATTTTCTTTGTCTACAAAGCATGGATATCCCTATAACTTAGGTTATAATGTTTAATCACAGGTTATAAGGAATTAAGTGGACCTAAATCATACTAAAGAAACATGTAGCCAAACAAGTAACAATCTAGTTATCCCACCTTGGAAAATAGTCAAGCAAAACGGACTTTCCTTACCAGGCAACAAAAATGTGGAATGTACTTTACCTAATAAATTAAATATTATCTTTCAAAATGCTGTTACATTCATTCCAAGACAATACACATCTAGATGTGTATAAGAGACAGTATATATAGTGCCTATAGTATAAAGAAAGAATAAATAATAAATATATAAATCTGCACTGATTTCAAACTACAGTACTTTATAAATAATTACTACATTATATTGTTGTCGTTTATAATAATTATAATAATGTCAGTGTTGCTGTTGGTTCACTTCAATTTTTTAGTTTTAAAAGCAGTATCCTATTAAAGACAACCTCAAGTCAATGTCTGCCAAATGTCTTGAAAAAGATGTCTATTTGTACAAGTACCAGTACCTAATAAAAAACTGATTTTATTTTGTTTTCAGAATATGGATCCTGCACTGAAGAAAATGGTGTTTTTAACCCAGGTTTAATTGAGGAAGGTACTGAGATTTAGAATTTTAGTTCCATTTAGTACAAAGTATCTTTTGTATTGAGCTAAATAACTTGGGAAATATCATTCAATACTTTAATTGCTTATTTTGCAATATACTTTTTTTGTGTATAAGAACCAGTCAAATTTTGCTCATTTTATTCTTATTTTTTAGTATTTTCAGCCTTGGTGTTCTTATAAAACGTGTTGTTATAAAACAAAAAATTGTATGCATGTTATTAGCTTTCATATAAAAATTCAAACAAGAAAAAATATGTTTCTTGCCAATTTGCAGATGCATAAATTTGCTGGTAATCATTTTAAGGATTTCATAGTAAAATGTCTGTACATCAATAAAATCTGGATTTTTTTTTTATCAGTATTACATTGGAAGGAATTGACTTTTTTATCTTTACAAATGAATAATCTCATGTGTAAATTTCTCAAGGCTTTTCAAAATGTTGTAACAGAGCAGGCCTTGAATTTGCTGGTAATTATTTTAAGGATTTCATAGTAAAAAGGTCTTAAAAATGGATTCAATAGTCTTTAAAAAAATAGCACATTTCTGTTATATTTAAATTTGTTGTTGTAGCATACAATATTAATTAAATTTTATGTTAATTTATTTTTATCTATAATTATGTTTTGGGCTGTCCATGTAACTAGCTGTGAGGTATCTTGTATCTTCATTCTGCATGCCAATACTTTTTATTTTATTCTCATTCTTTATTCTCATACAAATTAAACATTTATGGAAATCATGCCAAATTTTAATGCACTGTAAATTCAAAAGAAATGCAAATTGAAAATGCTTAAAAATCACTATGTAGGAGCATCAGCACTGTGTGATTCCCATAAAGAAAACTTGTTCAAGCATACACAAATATTTTTTATTTCCAGTGCCTCTGTTGGGTAAAAGATATGAGTATTCAAAAGTGATTGGCAGTGGCATATCATCGGTGTTAGTGCAGGCCGTAGATACTTATAGGCAGAACCAGTATCAAGTTGCTATAAAGATATTGCACACTGACTACAAAATGCTTGGGTGTCAGGTAAGTAAACCTTGTACTACAATCCATCTTTCTATTATGGCTAATAATTTTAAAAGAAGGGATCATTTGGAGTCCCTTATGATCTTTAAACAAGTCTTTTTACCAGGCTGGGGAGTGATGAGTACAACCCGTAGATACTTATAGACAGGACCAGTATAAAGTTGCTATAAAAGTACTGCACACTAACTGCAAAATGCTTGGGTGTCAGGTAAGTAAACCTTGTACTAGTAATAATTCATCCCCTATTATGGCTAAGAATTTTAAAAGAACTGATCATTTGGAATCCCTTATGATCTTTAACCAAGTCCTTTTACCAGGCTTTGGAGTGATGAGTAAGCCGTAGATACTTATAGACAGGACTGATATAAAGTTGCTTTGAAAATACTGCACACTGACTACAAAATGCTTGGGTGTCAGGTAAGTAAAGCTTGTACTACAATTCATCTCTATTATGACTAACAATTTTGAACAAACTGTTCATTGGGAAATCCTCACTGCTCTTTAACCAAGTCTTTTACGAGGCTTAGGAGTGGAGGGCAAATAGTTTAGTACCTCTGTGCTCTAAAACTCAATAGTAAAATGCATTGGAGAGAGCAATTTAAATTTTAATTACGTATGAGGCCAAAGAAGTAAAGAATTGATCATTTGGGACCCACAATCCTCTAAAACCAAGTCTCTTTAAGAGGCATAAGGAATGTAGAGCTCATCATTTGTGAACCTCTCTGCTCTTTATCCAAACCTCTCTGTGATGCCTTGAATGAACTTGTTAAGAGTTGGTACGCCAATGCTGTACAGCCAAGTCTCTTTATGAAGCTTGGAGAGTAATTTGGGACAATGTTCTCATGTTTTACTGAGGCTGTGGCAAATGTGCAAACATAAAATTTTAATTGAAAACATATTAAATTATTGCATGCATTGTATATAATAATAAATGCTAATCTTATAATATAATAAAATTGTCTTTATGTGCTTTACATGAACATAAAGAAACAGAAACATGCAACAGAATTTTGTTGTTGACATTGAACTCTTCTGCTAGTTATTCTTCTTGGCTTGATTTGATTTGTTAAACTTAAGCCAGGCATTCACTGCACTAGACAGTCTAAGGCCGAACGCAACACGACAACGTGCGCGCAGCGGATTGTTTTTTAATGAAGATCCGTTCAGACGACCACTGAAAATCAGCAGATGGCGTCGCGTCGTCTAGCGATCACAGGCAGTGGAGTTGGATTCGCTGTGCGACAGTAGTATGACTGATGTACATCAAAGTGAGTGCCTGGTTTTACTGTGCAGGTTGCATGATTTGACCATGTGGAATATTAGGCAGGCTCTTTGCACTAGACTGACCATGACCATCTTATTTTAACATCTTCAATGCCTCATTTATTTCTTTAGGTCATAACAAGTCTAATTGTGAATCATTTTCTTGTGGTAAACATATTTATACTCATTTGTAACAATGCAAGGCAAATTAATGATTTTTATTTTTTTTTTCATTTACTTCAGTTGAATTTTAATTTTTTAAACTGGTAACCTTGATCAGAATACAGCACACACACACTCACTTAATAAATATATCAGCTTACAATTTTTGTTGTCATGATGCTGTTATTCTTTTTGTAGGATCATTTCAATTTCACATGACTTCACATAAATAAAATTATATCTCTTCAGCTGCAACAGATATTTATTTCTTATATGTATTTATTATTTTATATTTATTTGTTATATGATAGTTTGAAAAAAGATACCATAACACTTCTTGTCTGACACTTTTATAATTTTTTTTCTTTTTTCCTTTATATTTTTTTTGCCATCATATAAAGAATAGAACATGAGAATAAGCCTCAAAACATTTTGTTTTTTATTTATAGGAAGCAGATACAGTGCTTAGACTTAACAGAGTTGATCCCAGTAACTTTTCAAGAATTATTCGCCTTCTGGTAAGTTTTAAAATTCATCCCATGCCTATATAACACACTGCCATGCCAAAATTATAACTGTATGTGATAGCTCACTATTAAGCCTTATTTCTATAAAATTGCTACATGTTATCATACACTCATTTTGGTGATGCTGATTGGTCAGAGAGCCTTCCCAATTGCATTGGAGACAGCTATGCAGTATAATTGCAGTGAAAACTAAGTTTAGTGAGGCTAAGTTTTAGACCCCAACCCACTTGCCTCCTCGGGTGAAGAATACTTTTATTGTTTTTTATTGTACAAAAGAACTGTTTGTTTTGACCCATTAAAATTTGATTAAAACTTAAATTTGGCAGATGATTTTGATTAACAATTAAGTACAGTAGAATTTTGTTTTTACGTACCTCAGTTATACGAACTCTCAGATTTACGTACGCTTTGTATGTATGATGACGTAATAAAAACCCCCCAAAATACTCAAAACAAACGGCCTATGGTTAATACACCTTATGTATAAAGGCCTATAGTTAATATGAGTTTTCCTTACCTTTTCAGAATACTTTCACATTTGATGGTCATTTTTGTATGGTATATGAGCTTCTTCACCCTAGCCCACTGCACTTGGTTTTTAGTAAGAAATTGCCCAAAGATAAGGTGAGTTTAATCAAATATATAACCTTGTCAGTCCTCCATGAAGCTTGAGGAGTGGTGTTTTTTTAATGATTAAACATCCTGGCATAACAAGATTTGAGCTTATAGCCCTGAAATCAATGAAAGTGCCAGAGAAGGTAGGTAGCTTAATCCCGCAGTCAGACATGCTAATCCCCTCTTGCCCACGACCTTGTGTGCTATAAAATAGAAAACTCTTTCATTAATTCTTTGAGCATAATACATTCTAAAATATCTGAAAACAGCTCATAAAGGTTCAAAATTGCACAGGAGACTGAATTCTACCAGGGTTTCACCTCTAGCCCTCACTGGCATCTGATGGAAATTGTCACCCCCATCAGATATCTCCATCAGGCAGCCACTCCCCTCCTCAATGTATATCCTAGAAAGAATTGAAAGATAAGCATCTTATCTTCTAACATAAAGCTCCATACCCTAATTATTTAACCAGGACGGGTTATTTCTAAATTTTTACACAGAGTAAATCAATCATTTGCAAGAATATTCGTGGCACTAAACCCATTACGTGAAGTATCATCCAATGGCGTAGCGTGATGACGGCTATATCACAGTGTGTTCGATCATTACTATTATTTCCTTATTATCTTGTTACAAAGTTGAAATCAGGGCATGGTATACATAACGTTATTTAGTAGGTATAACTGGAGAACTAGGAAAGACATATCTAGATATAACCATCAATTTTAGAGGTATTACCTATGTAAAGCAGGTGTTTGATATGTTTTTCATTGAAATAAACCAGGAAACAATATACAGTATTGGGAAATAGTTTCTTAGTCTTTGAAAACACATCGAGTTACAACGGCAAGTATTAACAGTGTTACAGAGAGCAGACTATTGTTCAACATTGATTGATAGCGATAAAATTCAAGTTTGAGCTGGTCACTGTATACATCTTGCGGTTTTCGTTGATGGATTCTGCATTAAGGATGTTTGCTGTTTAAACATTGATGGATGGATGGAAGTTAAAGCTACAGTATTTGTTGTGTTCATTTTGGTATTCACTATCAAATATTTATCTGTTAGACTCTTAAATCCTTGTCTAGACTATCAAATTCTGTTTGACAAAAACATGTGACATGCCCAAATATGGTCATGATATCACACCATGACCATGTATAGGCACATCATGACTATATATGGGCATACAACAGTTTGTTAGTCTGGACAGAGTTATAAGAAAAACATGTGATATGCCAAATATGGTCATGGTACATCACATCATTATTTTATATATTATTTATCAACCATAGTAAACATTGAAAACATGAATTATGTGGATAAATCTATTTTATAAATAAACTTATAATTTTAAGATTATTTTTTAAAACAGAACAAAATAATGAATATTTGTATTTAATAAACAGGTTTTGCATAGATGCAAATTGATCGTAAATAGGTCTATTAAAGTATTATTAATGTATTATTATTCATTATTAAAGTATTATTCGAGCACTGTTATTATTATTATTATAATTATTAATATTATTATTATTATTACTAATTTATTATTTTTGTTGTTTTATTTTTTGTTTTATGTATGGGGCCTAGACATATGTTTATATTTAATAATTAGAAATAATTATAATTAGTTGTAAAACATATATAATATAATGTTAACAACAATATAGGTTAGACCTAAACAATTATTGATACCATAATGTCATCTATCGATAACAACATAAATTTGATGACCAAATGAAACAGCAGCTTTTAGACTGTGGCAGTGCCGATAGAAAACTGCATTTTTTTTGTCACTGCGGCAGTGCCAATAGAAAATAGGAGCTTTTTTCGCACTGCGGCAATTCCTATAGAAAATAACAGCTTTTTTTTTTTCGCTGTGGCAGTGCTGATTGAAAGCACCAGCTATTTGGCACTGCGGCAGTGCCGATAGAAAACAGCAGCTTTTTTTCACACTCCAGCAGTGCCGATAGCCACTGCCATACCTGACAGGTATCTGATGTATTGATGAATGATTATCCAAATCCTTGTACAATTTACCATTTTTCAGCCTGACAATGGATTTTTTGATTGGCGTTTACATTTATTAGCAATAATAATAGTATGTCTGCCTTCATGTTGAAAATTAAATATCCTCAAGCGTTCATTCTTATGATTGGCTATTACTGTCATTCATAGAGATGCTAACCCTTAGAATAATGTATATTAACAACATATTTATATCATTGGGAAAAAGTCAGAGTGGTTTTGATTTGGGCTCTCAACTGTAAAATGCAGAGCCTGAATCTGACGGTAGCTTTTGGCTTCCAACTGATCGATCATGAGTACATGTCAGGATATGGATCGATGTTGAATGTATTTGTTCTATTCTAAATATCCACGCACTACTAAGGATACTGCCTAGGGGGGTGGAGAAGGCTGTACATTGAGTATGATTGTTAGTCTTTTCAAAGACTAGGAATGATAATAATTTGAAGCTGTTTGAGATTTTTGATGGGAGTACTATAAATATATGCCAGAACTTTAATATTTTTTAATCAACAGATATACAGATAATGTTTAAATAACAGGATGTTGAAACATTATTTCTAGAATGAAGATTCCTTAAGAAGCCCCAAAATAGGTCAAAAGCTCAAAACTAATGTCCTTTTCTTTATGTGGAGTTATGTTTATTATATATTATTATTATAACATTAACACAAGGTACTGCCTCCTTAATACCTATTCATCTGTTAAGATAAAGTAAGCTTGAAAGAGTCCAATTGCATTTCTAAAGTACAAATAAGTGACAAGTATTTTAATAGTAAAGCCATTGTACTGATTAGGAAGCCAATAAAACATCATTTTAATGATTACTCAAGCACTGCACAATTAATTAAAGATAATTCACATAGGGTGTGCTCATATCAAGTTCAATGTATGACACGCTTTTTTCATATTTAAAAACCTCTCCTATGTGTACTTTATAGTAATGTGGTGTAGTGAGTCGTAAGGGCTTGTGCTTACAATCAAAAGTTCAAGGGTTCAAGTTTTGAGTCTGATCACATATTTATGTGCTGGGGCAAGGAACTCTTTTTGCATATGCCTCTGTACCCACACGTTAAATGGATATCTGGCAGAATAGTAATTTAACCTGTCCAGAGTTTCATAAACTGTAACCAGAGTACTCATGACTATGGAATAGAGATGGTTTCACACTGATTACTTAGAAATATTATGACCAGGGAGTTAAAGTGGGAGTAAGGCATTACACACTGTAGATACAATTTTTTTTAAGTTCCTTGATAGACTGGGATTGTCATAGCATTTTTTTATATAGTGCAGTAGCGAACAATAGCTAATTCATGTGTCCCTACTCAAGGGTGTTCCAAATTAGCTAATCAAATGGTTCACTGCATTTATTTATTTATTCAACTTTCTTTATACTGGATGGCACGCTCAATGCAAATGCACTGGTTTTCGTTGTGGTCCAGTTGTAACATAAAAAATACAAAAGGGATAAAATGAAAAGGAAAAAATAAGGAAATTTTAACAAAAAGGACTTAATTACAAAATAGAGAGATTAATTATTTTAGAGCATTTTTAAAGGTATTTTGATTTAAATTCTGGAAATCCCTAGTTATGTTACTAGGTAGTTCGTTCCAGTTCATGGATGCTCATTAGTGAAAGGTCCGTTTTCCTTGACAAATGTTCCACTGTGGAACTAAAAGATGATTATTTGTCTGACTTTGAGTATTTTTATCATTTTTGAGAAAAACAAACATCTTAATTAAATAGGAAGGTGCCAGTTCTTGAAGACATTTAAAAGTTATGAATAATAATTTATAATTTATCTGCATAAGTTTCAAACCATGGGCCAGAGCCTACAACAATAAGCCACTTTTACAACAACTTTTATTACGATGCAAGCGGGGGTATTATAAATGCTTAAATAAACCCTTAAACTTAATATAAACAACCAAAAGGTGGATTTAAAAGCCCTCTATTTGATGTACAAGGTGCATGTAAATTAAACAGAGGAACTAGGTTGCAGTCATAACAAGAATTCATTAGAGATAAAGTAACACCACTGTATAATTGCTTACTTTATACACCAATATTTATGACATCTGCTTTCATTTGACAAATTAGTTTTATGGCAACCTGTTAGGTGTGTCCATACACCTCATTTTGAACTTTCCTGGGAGGAATGTTCTCAATATTCATGGTATTTGTTTTTATTTGACACGTTAAAATTATTGCAACTTCGTAGATGTGACTATATTATTTGACTCGTTTTAAACATTTTTGCGGTGTTGGGGACGGAGGTACTTTTCTCAATAATTTTGGCATTTGTTTTTATTTGACACATTGGTTTAATGGCAACATACTAGGTGTGTCCACATGTTGGACTTATTTTAAACATTTTTGCACACCATCATAAGATTTACAATGCAGATACAAAATACAAAAGTTATTTATTTGTCAAAACAGACAAGAAATCAAACAGGGGACCAAAAGGAAGTTGGAAGTTGAAAAATGAAGAAGTGATTCTAAATGTTGTTTTGTCTATCATCATTTGCCATAGTATTTGATTGTTTTATGTTGTAATTGTTTAACAAAGAAAATAATATAAAAAAAAACTATACATTGAATAGTATTATACAGTATTATTGCTGTTGTTTTCATGTTGCTGGTGTTGTTGTTAATGCTATTATTAAATGAATGAATTTCAGAGGATGTCACCGAGGGAATCAAGGTAGTCGACTTTGGAAATGCCATTCACTGCATCTTTAATGAACTTGCTCTTTACTATAATGATTTCCATCTTCAGACATTACTGTACAGGGCACCAGAGGTAAGTCTTTTCGAGTGCCAGATACAATAAAATTTTTAACCCAATGCTAGATTAAGCAAACATAGCACCAAAGTATTAATATTTGATTTTAATGTTCTTTCACATCAGGCACTCAAAGAAATACCAGAAGCCATGCAAATCATTCTCCTCTAGGAAATTCTTCTCTTATCTTTTAAAAATCACAAACCCATAGAACAAATAGAGATGTCTTAACTTATTCGTACCATTATCTATTAGAATTCTTAATCAAAATATAAAATAAGTTTTAGGACCTAATTATAAATATTTTGTTCTTTGTTGTTTTGTATTAATCTTGCATTCTGTTTTGCAATGTGTATACAACTGATTTTCCAAGAGGACACAAATAAAGAAATCTTGAAATCTTATACTGTATGAATATTTTCCTTAAATAAATAAAAAATAGACAAAAAATGAAATAATGAGACCGTAGCATTTAAATAAGAACCTAACTCTATATATAGTTTTTGCTGCCTTCATCTGTTCACCAGATTCAGCCTGAAGTCTGCTGGTGAATGCATGTGGTGAGAAGTGTTCCTCTTTTTATTAATCTAACCTTTGTATTTTTACGAGATCTTACATTAGCATTTGAATGTTGCATAGACAAGTCTAGACTCGACCTTCTGTTTAAGCACTGTTTCTATGTACTAATTTATGTGGTTGCTATGTGAATGTTACACATATTCTTATTGCTATTACTCAATATTGACCTCTACTTTAAAAGGTGAACAGGTTTTTTTTGTATGAGATTTCATACATTTCACCATACATTGTTCACTATCTGATTCTAAGCTTCTGTGTAACAATTTAAATGTTCCTTTATATTTGAAGTTGATTTTTGGGATCCAAGTTTTTACTCATGCTACAGTATTTTTTTTGCTTAGCTTTTTTTAAAACATTGTTTTTTTCAATTCTTCATATAGACTATTTACCTGTTCAGTCAAACTATTGATCACTTATGATAATTGTTTACCTCTGGGACAGTGGTGGCTCTAGGATGCATTCAAGGGGGAAGCTGTGCGATAGGGGGGTCTGCTGACAATTCCTGACAGACCAGCAAGATCTGGAATGTGTAAGCCCTGGTGTTGCCTGTGCGGGGCCAAGCCCTTTGCACCTAAAAAATCTTTCGGCCCATGTTAAGCAGTACTGAGATATATGTATTATGCCTGGAGAATTAAAAAAAAATGCCTTCTCTGATGAATCATGATCGACTGGAGAGAGGCATTGGTCTCCATGGTTTATTAAGCCCTCTGCCACCTTGCTTGGCCTGCCATTGTTCTCAATAAAAAGTGGTATTTACTGCCAACTGTTTTTTTTTTGTACTGTAGCAGTGAGCTTGGGAGATTTCAAGCATTCTCCACTTGTTCACAATGCATCACAGCCAATCACAGAATGGAAAGTTCAGGGTGTTTACATTTTTAACTTGCACAAATGATGATTGCTGGCTCATAATAATGGTGACACAAACGTATCACTATGTCCCTTTAATAATTAAAGGGGCATTAAACCTTCCTTCTAAAAAGTTTTTTCATTGCAATTACAATATCTATATTTAGATAGGATGTGGGTAGTAGTAGTGTAAATTCACATGGTATTATTTAACGTAAGCAAAGTGAAGAAGGAATGTTAGCTTACTTGTGCATAGAAAATTAAGATTGTAAAGATCAATTTGTGATTATATTTGTTTAGAGTTTTAGGCATTGTGTGACCTGCAGGTGGAACACTAATGAGATTCATCTTGCATTTATTATTAGAACTATGATCATATTTATATAACAGTTTCTTTGGCATGTTTGTATTGTAGTGCATGCACATGGCCTAAAGGATTTTTGGATGCTAATTACAGGATGCTGAATTCAATTGCTCACATATTGTGTAGCTATTTTCTTCCTAACAACTACCCTACTTAAGGTTGGATATGATCTGATCTGATTTGTATCAACTCACAATCTAAACCTACATTATTTATCCAATCAAAGTACTCTTACCTCATTTTATATAATTAGTTATTTCAATATTTTCTAAAATAATTTAAATTTCTTTATTTATTATATACAGTAAATACATGTACTTGATAATTTCCACATTTGGTTTAATGATACAGTAATAATTAATACATTGTTTGGGAATATATATTTAAAAATTGTTAATAATCTTATTGATGAATATTGTTACTAATATTACTATTATTAGTATTATATGTTATAATGATAATATTGGTGATAATATTATTATTTAATTTTTAAAATTTTTGATATTATTGTTTGTTATTTTTTATTTATAAAGTTAGTCTTTAAAATAACAAATGAAAATAATGTTATAAATAATTTATTGGGTAAAATAAAATTATTCATAAACTGCATTTAATTGAACCATAAATTGTTATAGAATATAGTCTTTTTTGATAAATTCCATTTCCTTTTTACAAGTGATCTCCTTTCCTAATTTCATTTCTTTGTCATATTTTCATTTACCTTTTTGTCTCAAATGATTCGGCTATATGCAATGATTACATCTCTAATTTCAGTGTTCGTTCTGTTACTATGATGACCTCATGGGCTGAGGTGTTTGCTAATTATCTAGGGGCCTCACCTGGATATCCAGGGCAAGGTCTTCAACTCTCAACTCCCAGGGTAGTCAAAATAAATGCATTCTCAACTCTCAACTCTCAGAGTAATATGAGCAGTAGGTGCCCGCATGTTTTAACCTAGGAATTAAAGCGGCATGGAACCGTTCATGGCACAGTATACAAGCAGTATTAGAGGGGTAAAAAAGGAATGGAGCCTGGTTTGTTTTTTTGTGTGTGTGTGTTTGTGTTTTTTTGGTAAAAATGATTGATTTGACAATATTGACCAATTTAATATATTTAGAAAAATCTGCAAAGAGAAAATTTTCTCTTGTAAGCAAAAACATTTTAACAAAGCAAAACTTAAATTACTACAAAAAAGGCTTCATCTGCAAAATATGTATGCATGCTTGCACAAACAAAAGCCAACGCTATTTTAATCTTTGACCACTTTGACTTAATAATTAGACTAATTAGCATAGTGCAGTATGGGTCTTTGTTCACATACTCCCATTAGAATTCTGGTGCAATTGCCTCCGGGCATTTTGCTTTGATATCTGAGACAAGCGCAAAGCCGCAAATATCATGCAAATTTGCATGGTAGCGATTTAATTGATTAAATTCCATACGCATAATTTATATTGAAAATAAAGATAATCTGTCTACAATAACAGAGAGGGTGGAAGGTGAGGAGTTAATGGTGTTGTCAATTTGATATCATAAAAGTACATAATCCAAGATCAGATCAGTACATAAAATGTATATACATGCAATGCAATGTAATTACTGTAAGGTTTTAAGAACAGTGTTTGAAAATAGTGACCCAAAGTAGCCATTATTATCTGGAAAAATGTACAATATGCCTGTTTATGATGAATGAACTGTTATCTTGAATTTCTACTTAATCATATTATCAATCAACTTAATTTTGATATCCACCCTATCCTATTAAATTGATTACTCCATACATTGCAATTCATCTACCCATGTTCATTAGTTTAATGTTGTGAAAACCAGTTTATGTTACTGTGCTCTCTCTTTTTTTTTTTTTTATTACATTTTTAATTTAAAAAGATGCAATAAAAAACCCCTAGGTGTTGCAAACATGGAAACACTGTGCATCTCCAAGGCAATAATGAAGGTATATTAGTGCAAAAATATGCAAATCATTCAACAACAAAAATTGTACAAGATTGTTCATACAAAAGAGAATAACAACAATGTATCAGTATAAAAGCAACAATCAAGTACAACCAACCAACTAGAACAGAACAATTTTAAAACAGGACTGATTGTCAGGACAGCATTCCAAATACATGGAATTTAAGAGTATATATATATATACAAATATTTATATGTAGATATTCATTTAATTTTCTGTGAATTACAAAAAAGTGATTGTAAAAAGAAAATTCAAAATTCAATAAGTATAAATAGAAAGGTGATTGTATATTTAATGATGATTATGTTGATTAGCCAATCTGCCAAATGCCCACTTTACAGTGATGTAATCCTTTTGCTCAAGTGGGTGAGATTGATCGTTATCCAATCAGAAGTTTGCTGTTTCACTGTTCAGATAACCTGCCAAATAAATATAAATGCAAATTGTATAGCGATGTATTTTTTTTTAGCAATTTCCATTACCCTTCAGTTTACATTTATTTTGTTTTTTTACCATAGAAACTAATAGCCTCTGCATTTAGTTTTTACTGTAGTGTGTTGTACTTGAAGAAATAAATTTATGATAATAATATATTATAATGATAATTAATATTAATAGGCCTAAAGGCCTATACCTTATATATATATATATATAAAGGCCTGTTTATACTTCAATTGCTAAAAAGCAATTGTTCATATAGAAAATAAAAGAAATAAGAGAAGTTTGTACACTAGAATGATTCAATAACGATTTATCAGTTATGCGATAACAACATATTTTGACAAATCAAATCAGATGACATCATAATCATGGAAAAACATTAAAATCGTAGTAGTAGCAACGATTTTATCGTTTTTCCATGATTATGACGTCATCTGATTTGATTTTTAAAAATATTTTGTATACACGATATATTGTTATCGAATCGTCCTAGTGTACAAACTTCTTTTATTTCTTTCGTTTTCTATATAAACAATCGCTTTTTAGCTTTTTTATCGTTATCGTTGAAGTATAAACAGGCCTTAATAGTGATATATAATGGTATAATGTCCTATCTTTGAATTACAGCATTGATACATGGTTTTAAAACAAGGCTTTAAGCCCTGTTCAAACTATCAACTTTTATTTGACATGCTCAAATATGGTCATGATGACATCACATCATGACTATATGTGGCAAAGACAAGCCAAACCAGTCACTTGTCGCAAATCGTGTTTCAGAGAAAATGGCCAAAACATGCTGGAATGTCAAAT